CTGCACAGTTCTGCCGGAGTTAATGAACCACTGATGATCAAGGATAAGCCCCAGTATTGTGGACATGACAATTAGTTGGAGTTGACTCCGCTTTTTGTTTTTCTGAGCTCTTTATTGTGGCGGTCTCTAAATATAGACGATGGGCCCCATAAAAATCTGTATGGGTTAAAGCATACATATGTGAAGTCGGAGCTGCCGACTTAACCAATCGATTGCGGATAATTGCGAAACGAGACACAAACACTTTTCGCAAGAACTTATATTTTTATTTTAAATACTAGGACAGGATACATGTGTATTGTTGCAGTTCGAGTTCATATAAATTAGATCTAATGAGCATAGGTAAACACATTGTCATTTTCTAGCAGGTTCTAATCTCATAAGTAATGCACTGTTCAGATTGTTTTGACGAATACATATACACTGTGATAAAAGATTTACTCTACCACATCCACCTGCCCCGAAAAGATAAGCCAGCTTTCAGGAAACGCTACAACGCAGTATCTAGGATACCAGTTTGGAGTTGCAACCACAATCCAGTGTGGGAGTAGCCCAAGGTTCAACCTCCTTGTCACTCAGCCGGCTTGCCTTACATTTGCCCCGGACCACGCTTGCGATTGTTATTAATGATGGACGTAAATCAATGGCCTGGAAGGGGGCAATATGGCAACCGAAAAGCTCTCCCACCTCACGTAGCTGACCAGACAGTCAGTGGGGGCCAGTCAATTATGCCAATTGCTGGCCCCAAAAACATATCTACGCGCACATGTATCCATTGCCTTTGTATCCGTATGTCCATGTGCAACGGTTATTCGGTGCTGCGCATGCGCACCACATGGGGTCTAATAAAAATTAAGCGCGTGTTGCATTTGTTATTGTCAATGTTGTTGTTGCAGCTCACTTGACCAACAAACAACACGTACAAACTGTGACGCGTGACGCGGTGGAAAAACAACACTGTTAAACAACAAATTGTCCATTAAATCGGGGACTTTGGTCTTCAAGATGCAAGGCGGCATAAATTGGCAAATTTTGAGCCCAGTCAGACAAATGAGGGAAAAATTTAAATACGCTTTTACAAATATTTAAATTATGATATAGCTAATAGTTCTAAATAAAGATTTTTAAATAGGCTGATAAAACATTCCATTTTTTCAGGAAAATTTCAACTTTTGTTAGCCAGTGTCGCTTGGCACTGCCACTTGTGGCACGATCACAGTTACAGCACACCAACACAAGGGCAACAACTTTCGCATTAGGCCAAATCAACAACATCGGCAACAAATACGTTGTTACCTGCCACGGAAGCCGCGTCGCCTTCTCAACTTGGCCTGCAACGTAGGAAGCCAAGAGGCAGTCGTGCACTGAGAAAAGTAAAATTACTAAAGCACAACTGTAATGCCAGTTGATCAAGCAAAATGTTATAAAACATCTATGATTGCTGAAGAACATATTTGTATAACAAATACTTTGATAATAGGTAAGTGGCTTGACTTGAATTTTCACTCAATTGTTTTTTATATTATTTATTTACTACATTCATCCAGTTCCTTAAGATTAACTTACGTTTCTTTCAAAATAGAACACTACCAGTGATGCTGGTATATAATATAATAATATAATATATATAATATAAAAATATAATAATATAATATATATAATATAATATATTTAATATAATTATATAATATATATAATATAATAAGTAAAACACATTTTGTTCTCTGTAGTCAAAATAGGCAATAAGAAAAAAGCCGAAGCAGGCCTTGTGGCGAGCCTTTAACATTTGTTAAAGCCACGAGTGCCATTCGGCCTCTTTGGGCTCTGTGCATGCTGCAGGTAATTTTCGCAACTACGCAATTGAGTTTTCCATCGCCCACGCCACGCCCTCCGCCCCCTTCGATCTAGCTGCAGCATGCGCAGCTGGTTTATGACGGCTTTTGTTGCGGTTTAAGTTGCCACTGCCGCCTTCTCACCTGCTGCACCGACTGGTCAGCTGTTTGAGATACTATGGCTGTCTACAAAAATGATTTCGTTCTGTTTTCGGATGTATTTTCAAAAATATATTACCTATATTGTATTATATATTACGTATACGTACTCGAAGGTGATGCCTTCCATTTCTTTCATTAAATTTTATTTCATTTACTTTTGCACCGTAAACTTAACGAATAATGGCCATCATTTTAGTTAACCAACTTTTTTCTGGTCATTTTGCTATCTAGCGTTATTAAAACATAGTTATTGCAAATACTAAAGAGTATGTCCAATTCCGCGTTTAAAGCTAAAACTTTCCGTTTATTGCTGGCTTGGTTAAATATTGCATTTTACTCACCGATTTTTGGCGCGCAAAACTTCAGGTTTCGTAATGTTTTTGTTTTTCAGGCGCTTTTCTCGTTTTTGGCTTTAGTTTGGTTTGTGCCAAGGCGTTGTTTGCTAGTTGATTTCTGGGCTGATCTGCGTCTGGGCAACGACGCCAATCAACCTGCATTAAATTAATTGAAATACGTTACATTAATTACACCGTAATTAAATGTATGATTTATACTGCTAAGAGCGTTGCCCAGCTCCCGATCCATCGGCGTGTAGGTGTTCATTAATGCTTGACCGACCTGTCCGCTCTGCTCGCTTCGCTTTTAGCCGTTTCTGCGATTCATGCTAATGCCTGTCACCTGCTTGACCACTTGGCTATCGCGGACTACCAGCGGACTACCAGCGGACTACCAGCGGACTGTTCATTAATCTGGGTTAGGAAAGCCGGCGAATATGCTAACTTTGTAGACGGCTTAATGGTCTCTTAGCTCGTTGTCTTGCATATTTCGTCATATCTTTGGCTAAAGGTAAAGACCATGTACATGCTGTGTGTAACTGCGTTCTTGAATCCCGCATAAAATATGTTTATATAAAGTAAATTTTTTGTTGCAGTTGAAAAGGCAATGTAACACATAATCATTTAAAGCCTGCTAGAAAGGTTTTTAAAAACTAAAAACTATATCAGTAAACTAAAAAGTCTATATCAGTATATAGTATAAATATTCACTATCAAGAAAATCTGCTCGTAGACCTCGTCTATGCTCAGCAGTTATAAAAAATAAAGGAAATACCACTAAATATTAATATTACAACTATTTTTATAAGATAATTCATAAAAATGAAGTTTTTCTGAGTTTTAAGAGTTTTGTTTCTATTATTTTTTCCAAGCGCCGAAAATGAAGTAAATTATTTTTAGTTAATATAAAGATGAAAAAAATATTTTTGTTCCTGAATTTAAAAAAAAAAAGATTAAAAAATATTACTTTCCTTCTGAGCAAAAAATTTAAAATCAATGATTCAACCAACGTGCTGCTATTATTTTTTCCACCACTGTATATCTTCTTTTCCCAAGTGAGTCCCAAACTAATATCTTTGATTGACAGTGCTGGCGGAGCTCGGAATCCTCGGCCCCTTGTTCTGCTGGGGTTTTGGGGCGCTGATCCGAGTCCAAGCATCATCTAATGTCATGCCTCGCCGAGGACAGCGACTGTCACTTGACGTTACGGCTGTGTGCTGCACCATTTGACAAAAGGAAAAACCAAGAGCTGTCGGCTCCTTGGCGGTTTTCCGTTTTCATTTTGGCACGGGGCGCAGGCGCAGAAGCGCGCTTTTCCCCATTTTCTAGTTGGGCCGTAGAACATGTGTTGCATATTACTTGGAAAATGCCTCGAATTGTTTGCGGCTTGCAGATGGCTGTCTGTTTCGATGCCACTTACTTGAGGGGCATATAAGTTTGTTTGATACTTGGAAAAAATCAATTCTGTAGCTGAATAATTAGCTTCAAATTTGAAACTTAAGATAAATACAAAATTTGATAGCAATTTTGAAATATATTAAATGGAGCGTCCAGGAAAATGTATTAAAATCATGCGAGGTACATGAATCTCTGTACCTTTCATTCTCAATATTTTTGGGGCAGGAATGGGTGGATAGAGACCCCTTGAGCAGCAATGCCAAGTTGAAGTGACGTTTCCATTTTTCGGAAAATCCCCTCTCATTTGACTTTTCCTATTTATAGGCTGTGGCAGGCGCGGGCGCGTGGTGTCCCCTATTTGTGTGTCTCCTGCCCCAAAAAAAATGGAGCCGCTTTTCCCCTTGTTGGATCTTGAATGAATTTGTTATAAATATAAACTATCTCGCCCTCTGCTCTGGCACACACTTTCTGGGGAAATCCATCCGTGAAAATGTAAAATATCTCCTGCTGAGTTTAGTTTTTCAGGCATTGCGCACTTTTTGTGTTAGTTGTTTTGTATTTTGTGTCTTTTGTCTACACATTCCCGGGTCGCTTCTGTCTTTTGTTTATAACTTTTCAATTAATGCTTTATTATCGCTCTTTTTTGGGGATTTTCCCCCAAAAGTCGATGATGTGTTGATGGGACTTCGGTGGAATTTTCGGGGCCACCATCTGGCGGGGAAAGGTGAACTGAAGTTGATTCCAACAAATTGAATTGTTTTAGTTGACTTTCAACACGCCATATGAATAGGGAACTAGGACTAGGAAACTAATTAATTACCCCTTACTATCTTATTATTAAGCATTGATATATACTTGAAAAGCCTTGAAAAAAATGCCATTTCTAGTGGCATATCTATATGAATAATAGGTTGAAAAATTTCAAGGTTTTGCAATCGCGTATTTTTCCGCATAGCGTGCTATTTAACAACTCTACATTTATATAGAACAACAATGTCTAGTGATAGCAATTTATAAATATCATTACAAATTTAATGCCATATAATATAGCCAAATATTAGCTGTAGACAATGCCGCCTTGACTTAATTCTTGAATCAGAACATGTATATTGCTCGAATATATAGATCAGAATCAGCAAATACATTGTAACCTTTGGACTAACAAGATCGTTAAACAATTCGTGCAAATGTTCAACATGAATTTCGCGTGTCAAAACTCATTTTCAAATCTAATAAATAAGATGAGCTTGTTAAAGACAAGCAACAGTTCAAAATGAAATGGGTTGTGATAATAGTACTCCTCCAACTGCTGCAAAAAATAAAGGTATTTATGGAATATACAATATATATTTATTACCAACTCACAAACTCGAATTTCAACAGGGCGAGCAATCCTATGAGGTTACCAATGAAAGGCTGGAGCCCTTCGAGGGCGATTCCCAAACTTTAGTGATCTTCGATAGCCTGAAAACTATTGGCCGGGAGAGAGCTCTAAACGGATCCTTCAAATTCATCGGCGAGATGAACAATGATGACTTCAAGGTGTCCGTGGAACTCTATTCGAGTCCCAATGGCGATGGGGAGTTCAAGAGAATGGTCATGGATGTGCCGCAAACTAGCATATGCGATTGCTTCAAGAAGTTTTATGTCCAGTTTGTGCAGCCCTCTCTGAAGTCCGGAGAAACCACCAATTTCCCCGTTGTCGACGACGATTTCTGTCCAGTTCCCGAAGGCGAGTTCTACATTAAAAACGTTCTCCTGAACACGCAGGATTGGCCCTCGCAGGTTCCTCGAGGAATTGTCAAGGCCATCATTACTTTCTTCAGTGGTGGCGAAAACGTTGGAGGCCTAATAGTGGAGGTCAAAATTGAGGATCGACAAAGTTAGAGTGGCTTAAACTACTACCAAATCATGTAGTAAATCAAGTTCTCTGAGCATCGTCACAACGAAAACTCTTTGATATTAAAGAAAGTTTTGTTTGTAGTTTAGGTGACTTACACAATTCTAAAAATAAATGTCTTTGAACGCTGAAGTTAATTTTACTTTCGCTTATTTTTTTTTCAAATTTAGTTCGGAATTAATTCATTATCAAATTATTTGATTAAAACATCCTACAAATTATTTGATTAAAATGTCCCACAAATTATTTGATTGAAACATCCCACCAGATCATAGATTCTGTGTCCCAAAAAGCAATGGCATTCAATTGTCCACGGTTCATTTGCACCACCTGCACGACCCTAAGAACTATGACCCAATTGTGTCAGAAAATCAACCACAAAAGATACAAAATTTTCAATTGTTGAATCGAATCCATAAAGTCGCAGTCCGCTGTGGTCACCTGGTCGCAGTTGCGGTAAGGTGTCCATTCGGACCCCTGCAGATCGTAAACAATGCAGCTCGATGTGGAGACACGATTGAAGCCAACTGACAACCGACTTCATATGACACCTACATCACGCACCCACTCCCAGAACGCTTTTTCCAAAGGCCCCTTTCAATTTATGCAAAGCACATCGAGATCGATCGGAGTTACTCAATTAAGTGCCAACAATTTGCTGCGAAGTTTTCAATTTCAATTGCCCCGGCCAAGGAAACGTGCCACATGTTGCCAGTCTTTTTGAGGGGGACGCCAGCAGGTTTTTGGCTCTCCAAGCGCTAATTTGAGCAAATCAAACAAGACTTCACAAAAAGATCCAAAGCGGTTTTCGGAGTTGGAGCCAACCAGTTTTGATCTCTGGCTGCGTGCAGTTTTTGTGGCAGCAGCCTGAAAAGAAAAAACTAAAGCACCTGCCACAATTGATTAAATCGCAGCCATTCATTGTTATGAACGAAGAACACATACCGCAGATCGCAGCTTAGTTACAGATTTCAAATGTGTAATAAAACTTAAAACTTTTAAATCGAGTGTAAACTGGTGATAAATTGTGCAAGAGGTTTCCACGGCGCATTATAAAATATTCATCTGTTTCGGATCAGAAACCTAGTTTCTGCTGAATTGTACACATTTTTATGACCCTTCAATACGAGTACTGATACATCTGTTTGATCTTCGGATCCACATATCATATAATATTGTTCATTTTCTAATTTTATGCTCTTTTTATTGCGGCAAGTGTTGGAGGTTTGTTACCCTGTCGTATCTTGAGGCAGTTGGGTGTTCTTTTCGCGATCTTGAGGGTTTCCATTTGCTCAATCTAACCCGCTTAGACACTGTGGCTACCAATCGATTTTCCACCAACTCCCCTTGGTTTTGCATAATTTAGGTTTTGCGCAATAAAGTTTTGGCACGTTCTAAAAGTGTTAATTGGATTTTTTGCTGAGACCCACACAGCGATTTGCATACAGCGAATCGCAAACTGTGTGGGCTGATGTCGATCAATGGGTTGATCAATGTTGAAAGTGCTCCTATTTATTTTGCCAAGGAGGCGGGGACCCTCATTAGTTAATGGATGCCGATTTCAAAAAGTTGTATTGCCAGCTAAACAATATTCATGTAATTAAGGTCACAGTTTCATAATGCACTGCAGAAATTGGAATAATTTCCGTTAAAAACTTGAGTGGCAGATATATTTTCAATGAAGTCTTCTCGTCGTAAATGAATTTAATTATTTTTCTTGGCTCGATCGCTTACAAGGAAGTGATAAACGAAATAATTTATATCTCCAAGAGTGTTTTATTATTTGACCATAAGAAGCTCAGTAGCTTTAGTGTTTTCTACAAGAATTTTGAGTGTGATCTCTATGTTTTTTATAGGGGATTTGATTATTTCCAGAACTTACACAATCGTTTTAATGACAGCCAAAGCAGGGTCATAAAACTGTTCGAATCTTCGGATCCAGTACACAGCTGCCTTTCAGAAATGAAATCAGCTTGTACAAATTGTTTTCAGCAGAATTATGGCATCTATTTCAAGGCTCAAGAATGATTGCCCCCCGACAATGATTAAATATTTGGGACTTTTGTATCGGACCCCCCAAAGAAATTATGGGGCGAGGAGACTGGAACGATTTTATTAATGGGTCGCGTGATTTAATGTGCCCCCCGTTCGATATGGATATAGCTATAAAACTGTGTGGAAATGCTTGTGTTTTGGGTCGTTTCTTAATTGCGTAATGATTGAGTTAGTTGCTCGTTTGGGCCTATGATCCTAACCGCTAATTGGAGTAGGAGACGGACGCCACGCGGTGGAAATGATAACCGAAATCGAGCCAAGAAATCAACTTATGAACTATTTTGAACTTTGGCAGGGTAACTCACAATTGGTTTAATTGGGTGTAGAGTTGTAGAAAGTTTCTCACGACCTGGATTTCCTAAATATTGTATGCCTTTCGATCTAGCTTATTATTTTTTAGAGCTCTCAACCAAAGAGCACTTCAGCTATTTCCCATTGTATCATTAAAGTTGTCATCACGATATATCATACACATTTTCTTGCCAGCAAGCAATTAAATTTTGCTATTTAAACGAGAACAGTTGGCGACCCAAATCTGGACAGAGTTTCGCCAGAAACAATAAAAATTGAAAGATTTTTAAAGGGCGAGTTCAGTTCGCACAGCAAAAAATGATTGGAAAACCAATGGTTGGCAAATATTACAATGAAAATTCGTTACAAAAGACTGAGTACTCGAGATTGAAGAGGCATATCCTCGGTCTGGAAATATATAAAGGTTTTTGGGACTTTCGGGCTTTTAGCAGGCTTAATAATGAACGACATGTGAAATCAGAAATTTTCCAAGCACCGAGAAAACCTTTTAAAGCCATAAAGGAAAAGCGAGGAATTTTAACAAGCCTCAAAGTATGCAAAGGTAATGGAACAGATCGGAAAAAGGTCCACCATCATCGTTTCAAGGGGACAAAACCAATTTATAGATAATAAAATAATTAATCATGCACTTGTCCAACTGAAAGTCCGAGGACACGAAAACACCCAGCCCATTACGGCCAGGATCCCTTGGCCATTAACTCGGCTGTCTGAGGGACTCTGACTATGATTGATGTGTGTGGAGTGACTAAACACAATTTTCCAGTCGGTCTGTGTGCAAAAATCAGAGAATTTCCTCCGTGGAATGATTATGATAAGACAATTTCACTCGGCTTCTCCCTCTAATTAAACTTGTCTCGCTGAATATTTCTCAATTCTGTTTCAGATTTTTTTTTGCGGCATCATGGTAAATAAGAAGCGTTACTCATTAATGCGGGCACAGCTACTCAGTTGACTCAATGAATTATTCATGTGGGAGTGGTCATTTGGGGTTTGCCCCTCAAGTTTCCTACCAACCTTATAATTTTCGGTCCCATCCCTGCACAAGTGGCACACTTATACTCGTACCTAGGACTGGTCTGCTTTCCTTCAGTTTCATAAGTGATCTGAAGGGGATTATAATTGTAGTTTCCTACCAAATGAAGTGATTCCGAATGGTCAAATGACTTGCTAAAGGTCCCTGGGTGGATAAAATTATAACAGGTGTCGGGATTTGGGCAATGGTTGCTCAGCATCTACACAAAGTAGTTTTTAAGACAACAGATTAAACACATAATGGCAATCGCAAACTTCGGGACTTCCTGTTCAATATATTTTTAACTAGGGAAAATTAAAGTTAAAGTGTTTTGATTCCGCTTTGATTTCAAGTGCAGTTTGCAGCAGGTTACAATTATAAAGGATTATTTCCGTGGATGCAGGCCAAAACTCCAAATTGTAACCCACGGCCGAGCCAATAATCAAATATTACCCTAGATTGGCGACCCAACCTCTGAGCCCTCGACTCGGCGAGCAAAGTGAGCATTTTGCGCGAATGTGCACTGCAGAGTTGAACAATGATTTATGTGGCAGCTGGCCGCACCTACATTTATGCCACCGACCGGCCATAAATCACACCAAAAACGCAAAGCTGCGATTCTACTGTGGACCCGGCCGAAAGAGCCAGTCGAGCGGGCCAAAGTGTCTGTCAGGAGCGGACAAAGTCAGAAGTCTGGGCAGACAACAAATTGATATTTTTAACATGCGAGTTCAAATAGATAAAGTCAATTGATGGACGGGCCGAGTGCAGAGCCGCAAATAAGAAGAAAAATCAGTAGCGCTCCCCAAGACAACCGCTCCAGAGAAGTCTCGCATGGCATGACAATTAGCCGACCCACAGACCCGCGGAGACGCCTCCTCCTGCTGACGAAGGCGCTGCACGGTGGGCGGAAATGGGTTTGGGGTCAGTGGAGTGGAGGGCTATGCCGGAAGGTACACTTTTCAATGAACAAACCATGCCAATCATATAGTTACAGCTTCTTGCGTTTAGTATAAAAAAATGAAAATATTTAGACCTAGCTTAGTGTAACCTATAGCATTAATAATAATTGTTGCAGCATTTAAAATTATTGAAGTATTTTTACTTAATCACCAGCCTAGCTGGCATTTTCAGCCATTCTGACCACCGTGCATTTGCATTGTCAATTTGTTTGCCGCCCCCCGCAGCTGAAGCCTCTAGTTTTGTCGCAAATTGTGCAAATTTATTTTACGCGCTAAGTGCAAAACGTGCCCGGCCAGCTAAATGGCTAAAAATTACAGCTCAAAGAGAATCTTTGCTTAGCCCTCCATCTATTGTCAATAAAGAAGCTGTGCCTTCCCATTCCCACTTTCAAACCACTGGTCTTAACTTCCTTGAAATGTGGGCCCACCCACAAATCTTTCATACTCAGTGTTGTCGGTTGTGGAACCCAAAACGAGCTGAACTTTTATTTAGTAAGGCAATCTATTAATTAAAAGTGCTTTTTACATAAATTTAGGGGAAATTGTTAGGTATTCAGATAGTTTCACTGTAACTTTAAGTTTCTCTAACAGCCATATGATAATTACATTTTATAAAATAAAAATGATATCGATTTAGATGTCATATGACAAATGTATCTGAAGGAATTAGCCAACTTGCCATCACTGTACGCACACTTTTTAACCCGCGCGAAACTTGGCCAGGCTTTTAATTTGCGGAGCCCCTTCTTAACTTGGCTGCCTAACAATGCGTGAAGTTTGTCGCCG